TCTTCCTTTCTTTCCTCTCTCTTCTCTTCTTTCTTCTCGTCTGTGCCTGCCTCTCTCCTTTCTCTCTGCTCGTTCTCTCTCTCTTCTCCTCCCTCTCTCTCTCTTTATCTCTTCTTAACTTCTACTCTCTCTCTCTCTCTCTCTCTGCTCCTCTCTCTCTCTCTCTCTCTCTTCTCTCTCTCTCTCTCTCTCTCTCTCTCTCTCTCTCTACTCTCTACTCTCTCTCTCTCTCTCTCTCTCTCTCTCTCTCTCTCTCTCTCTTATCTCTCTACTCTCTCTCTCTCTCTCTTTATCTCTCTAACTCTCTAACTCTCTAACTCTCTCTCTCTCTCTTTATCTCTCTAACTCTCTAACTCTCTCACTCTCTCTCTCTCTCCGTACATACAGGTAAAAACAAGAGAAACCGCATGCAGGAACGCCGTCTCATGAAAGGTCTCAACCTCGACCGCAACATCGATCCCATCCCGGAAGCTGACGTCATCCTTCCGGACTTCCTGAAGCCGGGAGAGAAGGACAAAAAGGTTCTCTCTCCCGCGCGAAAAACCGCCAGCCTTCCCAAGTTTCCGTTAAAGAAGGGCATGGTTATGCCGCGCGCCGCGCAGCAGTGGGAGCATCTCATCTCAGCAGTGAAGGCGCGGAAAGAGAAGCCCTCGCACGCTGCAGACGACACGGACTCCTTCGGTTCTATGAACGTCAGTGAGACGGACTCAGTGCGCGGCGGAGGCGGAGGCAGCGAGGCGGGGCGATGCGCGCCCCATCTGACGGTCGCCGACTCGGACAGCGTCGTCTCGGTTCCCGTGCCGCGGGAAGTGTCGCTAGATGGCGCCAGGCTGCGGCGTACGGTGTCGAGCCCGCCGGAGACGACAATCACGATCGGAGCGGCGATCAACAGCAACGCGCCGATCGCGAGCCCCGAGCGCAGCGACAGCGAGTTCATGCAGAGACAGCCCGCGGCGCCCCCTGCCGTCGCGCACGGACACATGTCGACGCGCGTCGTCGCCGCGACGACGCCGACGGGCACGGCGAAGAAAGTGTCGTTCTGGAAGACTGGCGATGCAGACCGGTCCTCGATTCAGGAAGCGAGGGACTCGGACTCGGACGATGCGCAGGCGTCGGCAGCGGCGCCAGTCAATATCGGTCTGAAGCGGCGTGGGTACGGGCCGGGGCACGAGCAGGAGGACCCACCGTCGTCCTGACAATTACAGCGCGAGTTGTGTCCCGGCCGGCCGCGCACGCCCGAGACGACCGTCGTTGCCTACATCTGATACTGTGAACATGTGCCGCCACCTCGCGGAGAGAGTGGAGCTCTCGTCGTACCGTGCAAAGATCCCTGTGATTCTAGTGATGATGTTATAATGGAGTGTGGGCTGTCCGGCTCACACACGCTCGCGTGTGTGTGTGTGTACATAATAATGTTGCCGACGTCCGACGAGATGGGTTCTGTTCTTATGTAATACGTGACTACGCCATTCGCTCGTCTCGTCGAAATCTCTCCATCTAGCAATGAAGTTAAAAAGCGAGAATCGGGCCGCCAGGGCGCGCCCCGATCACCGCGCGCTTGCAGCGAGAACTGCTGACTGCCAATCACGCATCTGGCGACTGACACGACGTCGTGACGTTCTATCCCGTTTCCTACCGGAAATCCGGCGACGCAGCCCTCGCTGAATTCGCTTCCATGTAGATCTACGGTTAGATTCGTGACAGCTAAACAGTCGATCGAGCATAGAGCCTCGACGTCTGACGTAACGGTGGCAGGACAACGCACCCACTGGTTCTAAACAATCATTGGCTCCGTAACATTAACTGCGTGAAAATGGTGTTGTGCGTACGTAAAACACGAGTGTGTGCGCTGCAGACACGGTAAAGCATTGGTAGCAAGTCGATCTTACAACATTGAGTTCATCATCCAAATGCCAAAAAAAAACATATTTGCATACCTTATCAACTTAATCTATCGTTGCTTTTCACTTCCATTCTTTGGAAATCTATAAAAACTGCAATAGCGACTCTCAGAATGATGGTTACAATCGGGTACAAAACACAACACCATTTTCACGCAGTTAATGTTACGGAGCCAATAATTGTTTAGAACCAGTGGGTGCGTTAATTGTCATGCCACTGTGACGTCATCTCTTCGGAGCTCTATTGCGGCAAACCTCACCACCTCTATTTGCTACAAACGCACACACGCGATGTGTTTTTATCCTATAGTGAACGCTAAGGCCCTTGAGTGTCAATCGAGGTTTATATTATGGTCCGTGTTATTGCAATAATTGAGTCGGGCTAGTGATTAATTAGAACAATTATGATAATAATTATAACAACCAACAACAGCAACGATGACGCCGACGATTTTGATAACAACCACAA